GCTTTGCCAGATGGACATGGTATCAAACTACCCCCTAAATATTTATGTTTATACCCATAGAGAAGTGCTGCTCTTAACCTTGATCATAGTAGTTTCCATTTGCAGTTGGCAACAAGTAATGTGGAATAAGTGATCTTTATGCTCAGCCCTACATGGAATATCTATGTCACCTGCCCCAAGGCTCAGGGACCATGGCAGAAGTGGGAGCAGAAACAGTGTAAGAGCCAGAGTATGGGAAAGAACACATTGAAATGTTATCTTCTGGATATGACCTAGCTGATGCACCCATGAACTCACAGTATGGCTGCCTGCACACAACTGGATGCATCACGGATGGGGTAGGGGCTCATAAGGCCTCATTGTTTCCTGAGGAGCTACAGGTAATTAATGTTTGCTGGGGAGGGGAAGACACATTCCTCAGAGGTGTATTCACTGGTAAGTTGCCCTTACTTAGGTAAATCCCCCCATACTCATGCAAGCAACTAATTAAATGCTGTGGAACACACATACACACACACACACACACACACACACACACATGCACGCACACACACACGCACACACACGCACACAAGCATGAAAGCAGGATAGAGACTTGGGAAGAAGAAGCATTTGGGTAGGAGGAAGAAGGTGATAAGAGGATGATGGGGAAGCATATTATATATGCGTATGGAAATGTGAAAAATAAATACAGTTTTTTTAAATGAATGAGGCTGGGAATGTAGCTCAGTGCTTGATTATCATGCATAAGACTCTGTGTTGAAACCCCAGTACAATATAAACTGGGTGTGGTGGTAAACACCTATAATCTTAGCATTGGGGAGGTAGAGGCAGGCTTAGAAGTTCAATGTCATCCTGAGCTATACAGGGAACTTAAGACCGATCTGTGATGGAGACTCCATCTCTAAATAATAGATAAATAAGTGCTGAGAATGTAGCTGAGTGGTGAAACGTGTTTAGCATGAAAATAAAAAATTAAGGGACTGGAGAGATGTCTCAGTGGTTAAGAGCACTGGCTGCTCTTGCAGAAGACTCAGGTTTGAATCTCAGCACCCACATGACAGCTAACAACTGTCCATAACTCCAGTTCTAGGGGACTCTGAAGACCTTTTCTGACCCCCATGGGCATTGCATGAAATGGGTGCACTTACATATATGCAGGCAGTACACTTATACACATAAAAATATTAAAACAAGCCAGCTGGGATCAAAGGTGGTGCACGCCTTTGATCCCAGCACTCAGGAGGCAGAGACAGGCGGATCTCTGTGAGTTCAAGGCCAGCCTGGTCTACATAGTGAGTTCCAGGCCAGCTGGGGCTACAGGGAGACCCTGTGTCAAAAAAAAACGAATAAAATATTTTTTAAAAAACATGTTTTGGGTCTGAGGATGTAGCTCAGTGATGCAGCACTTGTGTTATAGAACTCTCTCCTCTGAGTATAACAACAATCATGTTCATTAGAACAACTGTGACTACTTTCCAGAGATTGGGCTTGTTGACTTGTTCAGGGTTCCTCCTAGGAGGGTTTGGGGAGGGTCACTGGACCCTCACTTAAGTTTCTGTCTGCTCCCTTCTGTACTTCCTAGCTACTTGTACGCACTTCTGCCTGCCTTGACTGAACTGTGGCTTTATGGTCTCAAGGAGGTGCTAGAGAATTAAATAGATGGTGGAGGGTTAAGGGGAACTCCATCAGCTATGGGGAAGCCATCATCCATGACTTTTGGCTGTGGTTGCTTTGGGGTCACCCAAGATGCTGTAACACCTTACTCGTGTTGTGTAAGTAAGCCTAATAAATTCATTGGTTCCTCAAGTTAGACATTGGTGGAATCAAACTTTGGTTTGTCATTGGGGCCTTACAAGGAGGGATTCAAGGGTAGACATGTGTTTACATCTCCCATGGGAAAGTATTTGCAACAGCCTGTCTAGCAGGTGTGCGGCTCTGGATTCAATCCCTAGCACTACCAAAACAGGTATTTTGATAAGGCGAATCATTATTCTCAGAATAGGAGGATAGGAGACATTAGGCTGGGGGCTGTTTGGGAAATGGAGCTTTGAGGAATAAACCATTTCCTCACAGGAAAAACACCTGTGGTAAGTGCATATTCTGTTTGTCAGTAAGAAAAATGGGTCCTGCTCAGAAAGTCCTTTCCTGTACCTTTAAGTTCCAATGTACTCCCTGCTTTCCCCTCTATCAGATTCAAGGTATCAGGTCTTTTGGAGTTGAGTTTTGTACAGGGCGAGAGATAAGGGTCTAGTTTCATTCTTCTGCATGCAGCTATCCAGTTTGACCAGCCCCATTTGTTAAAGATGCTGTCTTTTCTCCAGTGTGCATTTTTGGCCTATTTGTCAAAAATCAATGGCTGTAGGAGTGTGGGCTTATATCTGGGTCCTCAAATCTGTTCTGTTGATCAAAGAAAAGGGGGACTGTAAATGGGGACTTATCTTTAAACACATCACCCCAAAATTTTAGCATCATTTTATCATTTGATTAAAAAATCTTTTTATGTCATTACATCTTCTTGCTATACTTTTCTATAGATTATATGCTAGTAGCTAGTATCATAAAAGCAATCACTTTGCAACTGTAATAAGCAGGCTACATCCAGGAAGGACTGACCAGGTCCTAACTCAATATAATCCATGTGTGACTCAGGTGGACAACTCTGTATACCTTTTTTCACTTTAGTTATACTTTAGGAAGCAACCTACTTTCACTCCAGGCCATTTTAGTAGGACAGTCAATCAGAGACCCTGAAGTCATTGGGTAAGTCGTTGGTCTCAATTAGGGTAAACAGACAGCTGGACATTTGACAATGATGACAGAAACTACAGGACATCATTGTTTCAAATCACATTCTCTTCCTGTGTCATTGCTATCCCATAATTTGTGTATGTGTGCATGGGGAAGCCAGAAGTTGACATTGGGTATCTTCTTCAATCGCTTTTTCACTTTATTTTTTGAGACAAGGTCTCCCATTGGAACTCCCAACTTCCAGCTCAGTGATTGGCTAGACTGGGTGGCCAGCTAGCCTTGGGGATCTTCCTGTCTCTGCCTCCCCTGAGCTGGGATTACACAGTGCTCAGCTTTTTATGAGGGTGCTTGTGCAGCTCTTTACCAACTGAAACATCTCCCCAAGTAATTTTATTAGCATACGTTAATTATGTACAATAATGGGTCTTGCTATGACATTTTCATGTATGTATAATGCATTTTGATCATATTCAATCATGATTACTCTCTCCTCCTCCCCCCTAGTTTCCCTTCCACTCCCCCCACTGCCATCTTTCTTTGAGAACCAATGACTTTAAGTGGGGTTACTTACAGGAGCATGGGGGAGGAGTTGTTTACAGAAGCATGGGCAACTTAGCATTGGCTCTATCACTGAAGTGTCTCTCCCCACAGCAACCATCAACTGCTTATACATCCTCAGAGAGGGGTGGAGGCCTCAAGAACCTCTTACCCTTTTAATACTTGTTTTTAAAAAAGGAAGAGGGCAGCCAGGCGTGGTGGTGCAGGCCTTTAATCCCTGTACTTGGGAGGAAGAGGCAAGTGGACGGATCTCTGTGAGTTCAAGGCCAGCCTGGTCTACAAAGTGAGTTCCAGGCCAGCTGGGGCTACAGGGAGACCCTGTCTCAAAAAGATCAAAAAGGGGGTGGGGGTGGGGCTGGACATGATGGCACACACTCAGGAGGCAGAGGCAGGTGAATCTGTGAGTTAAAGGCCAGGTCAGCCATGGCTGCACAGTCCAAGACCCTGTCAAAAACAAAGGAAGAAGTAAGGGAGGCAAGGAGCGAGGGATAGAGGGAGGGAAGAAAGGAAGGAAAGAAGGAAGAACAGAAAGGTTAGCCAGCACTGATAGTGCACACCTACAATTCCAGTACTTGAAAAGTGGAGGCAAGAGGATCAAGAGTTCAAGGCCAGCCTGGTTTTCATGAGACTCTGTCTCGAAGCAAACAAAAACAAGGGAGGGGATACAGGTGTAAATGCTCTAAAGAGCTGTTCCTTCTATCTCAGCATGCAGGTGTTGACACATCTAGTGTCTAGTGCCTTGTGTTAGGGCAGATGCTTCTAGTTTGGCAGTTCTAACCCAGAGATCCATGAGCCTGTGTACTCTTCCTGTCACACTTACAATCCAAGCAGCCTTTCTGACCCATTGGCTAATGTCACTGTGTCATATGACACTATTTTGGAGGAGACATGAACAAATACCTATTTACCCCAGATAAGGAAAGACCAAAGTATTGACAGACACCACCAACTTGAATGAGTTTATTGGGGTTACTTACAGGCGCATGAGTGAAGGATTACGTATAGGAATGTGGGCAGCTCAAAGGTATCAGCATCACTGAAAGCCCACCTCAGCATGGGTGACAACTCAATAAAACTGGAACCCTGGAGCTCTCTGCATGGCTTGCAGGTTAGAAAGTCTCTTCTTGGTAGTTCTTACTGTTTATTTTACCTTGGGAGAGAGAGTCCTTGTGCAAAGTTTTAGGGACTTTTTAATTGTTTTTTGGGTTTTTTGTTTTGTTTTGCTATACTAAATCTTTTATTGGCATCTGTTCAGCAACCCTGGCCCTCTCCCATGTCCTTTACAAAGGTAGGTGAGCCGGCCTTTACATGGCAGAGTGATCTCCATCATCTGTGTTGTTGTTGTTTTTAATCTTCAAGAGCCTCTCCAGAATTTTTTGAGTCTTGAGCCTACCTGCAAGATAGAATGTTATAACTCGAGGAAATTGTTACAGAATATATTGGAAAGCTGTTGCCTTGACAATGCTGGGACTCTAACTCAGGGCCTTGAGCATGTGAGGCAAGTGTACAATCACAGCGTTTTATCCCCAACCTCAGAAAAGCTGTGACTGTCCACATCTGACTGTTTACTAAAGCTCATATAAAAGAACTTTTAAAACAAAATACTACACTCCGGCAAATCATTGATGATCACTGCATTGCAGTGGTCTCCTTCAAACTTACACTAAGTAAGAAATAGACATACATACAAATACAAGGTTGGTGTTTCCAACTTTATTATGTACAAATAAGAATAACAAAAAAAGAGTAGCACATTTTAAATAAAATACTTTGAAACAGCGATGAATCCTATTAGTCTATAAACACTTCAGCCAATCATAGTCAAAGTCACACAAACTGTCTTCTAAGGGAAACTAACCAGTGGGAAATTTAAATTTGTGTTTCACATATGAATAATTAACATTTACTCTGACTTTCTCATGAAAAATAACTTATTCTCAGAAACAGTAAAGTATTGTTAATGGTAGTCTAACTCCTAAATGAAAACATGGGCTATATTACAGTTTACTGTAGTAACCCATTGAAAAAGCCTTTGAACACTGCCATGCATGAATCAAAGTATTTATTTAAGTTCAAGGCTTTATCTTAAGAAGAAAAGTAGCATAGGTCCTTAACCCCCTTTGAGAGGAACTTTGAAATTAAACTCTTCAGTTTCAACCCAGACTTTACTCAGAAATGCTGCTTAAATATCAAATTTTTCTTCACAGACAATATGTCCATTTTCTTCATAATCTTCTCTTGTTACCACCATATCTTCAAAATCATCATTTTCTGATATCAGTTTTCCACCTTCCCAGGAGTAAGTAATAGGGCTGAAATAAAGGTAATATAAGTGAACCCAGATGATCTTATAGTAATCATCAACAGATGATTTACAGGAACCAAGAACTGAACTACAAACTGAAATATTGCAAGTTCTATGAAACTTGAAGGGAAATCATTTAAGGTAAAGAAATAAGCGTAAGTTCCCTGTGGGTAAACTCAAAAGGAAAGGCATCTTTCTTATCCTTACAAAAGTTGATTTTTTTCTCTATATCCCCTATGTATGGATCCTCTACGTCCAGTGAAAAACCAGGCATATAAGCAAAAGCTCAAAGTGAACAAAGGGAAAAACAATGCCATAACTGTGAGCCTAAACTGAAGTAAAGATATGTTAACCTGACTGATTCTCACAACTCATGAAACAGCTATATTATAAACCTCATTTTATAGATTGGAAAATAAGGTTCAGAGAGGTTACATCTGGAGCCACAATGTAATGTGGACCTAATATCTAACTCAGGTCTGTTTTCAGTCTGTACTTTTAAAAAAGTATTTTTTTATTTAACTATTTTTATTTCATGAGTGTTTTGCCTGCATATATGTAAGTGCACCCATGTCATGCACTGCCTACGATGGTCAGAAGAGTGTCTTGAAACTGGAATTAACTCCCGGATGGTTGTTAACAGCTGGAAACGGAAACAGGGTCCTCTGCAAGAGAAGCCAATGCTCTAACTGCTGACCCATCTCTCGAGCCCCAACCAAGATGTGTGTTTGCAGGATAAAAACTCAATGTTAGAGAGTATATGAATACTACTGCTGGCAAAAATTATTCCAATATCTTTACTCCTTTACCCAGGTGCTACAAATGAAAAGTTCTTTAGGTGGCACATGCCTGGAATCTCAGCACATGGGAGCTTGGCACATGAGGATTGGCACTTAGAGGTCAACTGGGGTTACATAACAAGCAAGACCTAGTCTCAAAAGAGAACAAAGGAAAATTGAAAGTGATACAGATAAGGGCCTCCTATTGACTTCTATTGACTTTGAAAAATACACTTTGAAAAGTGTAAAAAAACCACTTCAAACTTAACTAGAGTGGAATTTTGTAACTCTGCCATTCGTATTAGACATATCTTTGAGATAAAATCTGATTTGAGGGACTGGCAAGATGACTCAGTGAGTAAAGGGACCTGCAGCCAAGCCTGATGACCTGAGTTCAATTCCCAGAACCCACATGGTAGAAGGAAAGAGCCGAATCTTCACCCTAACTTTTCTCAAAGTTGTCCTCCACACCTCTCTCTCTCTCTCTCTCTCTCTCTCTCTCTCTCTCTCTCTCTCTCACACACACACACACACACACACACACATCCACCCACTCGCTCTCTCTCGTACTCTCTCACGCTCTCTCCCTCTCTCGCTCACACACACACACACACACACACACAAACACACACAATGAAAATGGAGCAACTGGTAAACCTTAAAAAAAAAAAGAACCAATTTAGATGGGCCAGATGACTCAGTGGGTAAAGCACTTACCACCCAAGTCTGACAATCTGAGTTGATCCCCGGATCTCATATAAGGTGGATCCAAAGGAGAGAACCAACTCTGCAAAGCTGTCCTCTAACCTATACACACACATACATATCATGCACATAAAATAAAATGTACAAAAAATTTTAAAACCTCTGATTCAAGGTAAGAGCACTAGATTTTAATCTGGTCACTACTATTAACTGACTATAAGGCATTTGTCAAGACATGAGACCTTTCTATATTTAGACTATAAAAACATTGCAGAGTACAATCTTAGGAACATTCTTACAACTCTAAAATTCCACTTTAATTTCTTACTAATAAATTATGCTATCTTCTCTTTATCATAAACAAAGTAGGAAATATTGGGGAAAAATTTTTAAACAATCTCACATTGCCAAGGCTAGCCTTGGAATCACTATGTAGCTGAGGATGCCACTGAACTCCTGAGCCTTCTGTCTCCATCTCTTTAAAGTTGTGATTGCAGAAGACCAGTCAAATGTAAAAGCTCATTGAAAACATTTAGAATTTTTTAAATTCTAAAGGTTATGAATTTATATAGCTTATAATTACCCAATTTTAAAATTTCTATTCTTGATAGAAATCTTCATGAAACAGCATATCTCAGATGCAGCAGATAATGTTTTGATTTCCTTGCCTATGAAAATCTTAAGAACAGCCAGGTGTTGCAGTGTGTTTACCTTTAATCCCAGTATTTTTTTTTTTTCTTTGAGACAGGGTGTCCCTGTAGCCACAGCTGGCTTGGAACTCATGTAGACCAGTGCTGGGATTAAAGGCGTGAGCCACTACACCTGACTTAATCCCAGTATTTGATGCCAGCTTGGTCTACATAGTAAGCCAAGCCAGCCATGACTATAAAATAAGACCATCTCAAAAAAATAAAAATAAAATCAGACACACTCTTTTAATCCCAGAACAGCAGAGGCAAAGGCAGGCGGATCTCTATGACATTAGAGGCCAGCCTAGTCTCCATAGCCAGTTCCAGGCCAGCTGGGGCTACAGGAAGACCCTGTCTCAAAAAGACCAAAATAAATAAAAAGTCTTAGGATAGGAGTGATTTGCTGCAAGGAATAAGTGCCCATTATGTACCAAATGTTATGGCTGCCACATTACATGTCATCTCCCAACTCAAACAAGCTTTAAAAAAAAAAATTTCACGTGTGAGTGCACCTATTTTGTGCAATGCCTGCAGAAGTCAGAAGAGGGTGTTGGATCCCCTAGAAGTGGAGTTACAGACAATTGTTAGCCACCATGTGGGTCCAGGGAATCAAACCTAGTCCTCTACAAGTGCAGCCAGTGCTCTTAACCATTGAGCCATCTCTCCAGCCCCCCTAAACAAGCTTTATGGTTCCATTTTTTGTCAGAAAGAAAATGAAGATCCCACAGGTGAATAACCAACCAGCATAATAGAACCAAGCTTTAAATTGAAGTCTTCCCATAGACTACCTTATCTATAAAATGACTTGGTTTTTTTTGTTGTTGTTTAGACAGGTGTCACTATGTAGCTCTCGCTGGCCTGGACCTCACCATGTAGACCAGGTTGGCCTCAAACTCACAGAGATCCACCTGCTTCTGCCTCTCAAGTGCTGAGATCAAAGGTGTGTAACACCACACCTGGCCCTAGGAGATGACTTTTTGTTTCCATATAAACTGACACTTACTTTTCAGGCAGCACAACAGAAACATCATAATCTGTTGGAGTGAGACACCGAACTTCTGAGTAAACTCGATCTCTAAATCCTGGGAAAAGTGAATTTCCGCCTGTCAAAACAATGTTCTTAAAGAAATGTGGCTGCATTTCTTTAAAAGAAAAAAAAAAGGAGAAAAGGAGGAAAAATGGCATTAGGACATCTGTTTACTTATCCTGCTGAAAAGGCTTGGGTGAGCGTTTAGGTCAGAGGCTTACTAGGGTTACTGGTATGGAAAACAAGCAAGTTTTGGGGTCCATTATTAAGACTGTTTTTGTTGATATCATTGATGAGACAAGGTTTCACTAAATAAGACAGGTTGACCTTGAGTTTGCAATCCTCCTGCCTCAGTCCCCAGAGTACTGGGATCAGAGATGTGTATGACCACACCTGGCTACACTCTAAGATTTATAATAAAGTTATAGTTTACACAAATGGACACATTAAAAAGAGTGAAATATGGGGCTGGAGAGACGGCTCAATAGTTAAGAGCACTTACTGCTCCTAAGAGGACCCAGGTTTGGTTCCCAACACCTATATTGTTCCAGCTTCAGAGGTTCTGACACCCTCTTCTGGCTTCTGAGAGCACTTGCACACACAGAGTGCATATAAGCTCATGTAGGCACATGTGCATACACATAAGAATAAATAAACCTTTAAGTAGGAAGACAAGATATGAAAGTACTCTAAGAATGTGGAATACTATTTACTTAAATCATGCTTCAGGAGAACCCAGAAATCACTATGGAACACTGTACTCCTGTCGTTTTTATTTTATTTATAGTTATTTATTATCGTATATGTGCATCTGTGTGTGCATGAACGCGCATGCATGATGGGGCTTGGGGACTGGCATGCCACAGCACACATGTGAAAGTCAGAGGACAATTTTGTGGAGATGGTTCTTTCCTTCCACCTTTGTGTGGGTTCCAGGGATTGAACTCAAGTTGTCAGACTGTCAGATTTTCACAGCAAATGCCTTTACCCACTGAGCCATCTCATTGACCCTCTAGTCTTAATCTGTTAAAGCCATTCAACTTCAATTCTGTAAAGAATTAAGTTAGCACTTTTAGTCAGGCCACATGGCACATTCCTATAATTCTAGCACTCAGGAGCCTGAGGCAGGCAGATCATGAATTCTAGGCCAGTCTGAACTACACATAAGACTGCCTCAAAAATCAAAAGGAAACACAATAAACTTTTCTAAAAGAAATATAGGAATTTAATACTTGTGGAAAGATGATTTCTTCATGTTTAAATAGACCATAATGACTTCTGCAAAATACAATTATGATCCAGGGCAAATTAACCAAGAATTACTTAAGTGGTCTCAGAGATCTAGAAATTTCTGCAAATAAAACAGATGTCATTGCTTGAAATTATTTAAGAAACATTAATCACAGAGCTTATGATCTTTCAAAATGATATTCTTTAGCATTTGACTATAATCATTAATGTACCTTCAGGTAAGTTTTGAATGGAATAGACAATAGCTTCTGGGATTCCCATTTCTTGAATGCCTATGTCAGAAGGATTAAACAGTATTTCCGGAACAGCAAATCTCTCATTGGCCAGACGAAGAATCTGTTCCCCAGATTTATATTTTCCACTCAACACCATCTCTTCTCTTGGCTTAAAGAAAGAATGATGAAAGTTTGAGCACTTACATACATGCAAGCAAAACACTCATACACATAAAATAAAGAGATAAAATATTAAAAAATAAAAGTTTGAGCAACAGTATATAGTTCACATGACTAATAATAATTAGAAATGTATTATACTATTTATTAACCACATTCTTTTAAATTTCAAGATTCTGAAAAGTTAGAAAAATGTGGTTTCTCTCCTGCTGCCATAGTGCACAAATAACAATTTAGGGAAGCTACCGTGGCCATGCCCAAAAGATAACCGAGCAGCTTTATTCCATATATATATATATTTTTTTTGGTCTTCTTAGGACAGGGTTTTCCTATAGCCCCAGTTGGTCTGAAACTCACTATGTAGACCAGGCTGGCCTTGAACTCACAGAGACCCACCTGCCTCTGCCTCCCGAGTTCTGGGATTAAAGGCGTGCCACCATGGTGCCACCATGCCCAGCTCCATACATTTTTTTTTTTAAAGAAAGGAAAGGAGAACACAGAAGAGGAAATGTCACAATCACTTGTAAGGGCATACTGGTTCCAACTGCTAAATGAAAAAGAACATGCAATAAGCAAACAGTCGCAGTGTCTTATGCTCCCAGCACTACCCATTTTATTCCCCTTCTTCAGATAGGGTCCTACACCCATGCACACACAAGCAGCACAGTGGACTCGGTGGGTTAGAAAAAGGAAAAACGGACACATGAAGGTGGGAGAGAAAAGTAGAGGGGGGCAGGGAGGAGACAAATTGAAGGGAAGGATTTGATTAAAACACAGATGCATGTATAAAATTCTCAAATAATAAAAAAATCAATTTCCAAATATTTAAGTAAATATACACTTTTTACTTTGTAATGTCAATTTATTCGCCATTCTAAGCTGTGTTCCTGAGGGGCTACAAAAAACATACCTTCCCTAACATTCCATATCATTAATATGATGATCCCTTTAAATTTTACAGAGTCATCATTTCTTCTACATTGGGCCACAGTCATTCACTTACTCCAGCTGACAGATGCAGTTTTCCTCCCATAACAGTTCTTTACAGAAGTATAAAAATACTCAAAATATATGAAAAATTATTATTGAATAATATATTATCATTTCCTTAGTACATATGTGTTGTCCTTCACAACCTATACTGTTCATGACATATCCACTACCTAAAAGAACAGTACCTAGTACACAGTAGGTATTCAATAAATTCTTGAATGATGGCATGCAAACCGAACACTATGCCATTAATTGGATTAGGCATTATATATATATTATCTTTCTGAAGTCTCATGCAATAAGACAAGCAAATTGTCCTTTCATTAGTGATATAATTGGGCTCAGCAAGGTTACATGATTTGCTCAAGGTCAATCATATACCCACCCAAAGCACACAGGAACTATTCCCCTACATTGCCAGTCTCGACCTAGATATTAATGATTCAGATTCCTATCATATGGGAATACCATGCTCATAACACAATTTTATAATACAACTTTCTAGAAAATTATACAATACTCCTGGAAAAACAAGGAAAACTATAAATATAAATTACTTTTAACTCAATTAAACGACTCCTGTAGTAACAAAAAGAATATTGTTCTTTTTTAAATTTTTATTTATTTTTAATTCAGGCATATGAGTGTTTTACCTGCTTCCATATAATATATATGTACCAAGTGCGTGCAATGCCCACGGGGGGCAGAAAAGAGCATTGGATTCCCCTGGAACTGGAATTAAGGGGTGGTTGTAAACTGCCATGTGGGTGCCAGAAACTGAACCTAGGTCCTCTGCAAGAGCAGCCAGTGCTTTTAATCACTGAGCTGTCTCTCCAGTCCTCAAGAATATTATTCTCCACAGAAGAAGTATCCTCCCTTCTTAGGTAGAATGGGAAGTAGTCTGTCAATTTATAAATTAATTTAAACTTGACATCAAGCCTGATATGGTAGTGCACACCTGTAATCTCAAGACTTGGGAGGCGGACGCAGGAAGACTATACGTTTGGACAGTGTGAGACCCTATCCAAAAACGCAAACAAACATTAGCTGACATTAGTGTCATTAGTTTGAGTTTACAGGATAACTCATTTTATCAATACTGAAGTACTGAGACCGAAAGAACAGTGACTGCTGAAGCAGTGAAGTTTGTAGCCCCGAGTCACAGAAGAGGATCAGGCTGAATCAGCAAACATCCAACTAGGAGAGCCAGCACAAGACGTCCTTGTTGAATGTCAGCACTGAAGCCATTAGTCATTAATATCTAATCTGGCAGAACAAGTGGTTTTCAAGAGTACAATTCTGAAATCTACTTTTTAGACATGGAGAAATGAAGGGTTTATAAGGGCTGTGGGGAGCTGCTCTTCTAGTTCACATGGCCCAGGATTATTTACTACACAGTCTCCACAAATTTAATTTCTAATACCATTAAAAAGATGATCAGGTGCCATCCCTGGTGGTGCACACCTTTAATCCCAGCACTTGGGAGGCAGAGGCAGGGGGATCTCTGAGTTCGAGGCCACGCTGGTCTACATAGTGAGCTCCAGGCCAGATTTAAAAAAAAAATCTTTTCTACATTAAAAAAATCAGTTTATTGTGCTCGCTTCGGCAGCACATATACTAAAATTGGAACGATACAGAGAGGATTAGCATGGACCCTGTGCAAGGATGACACGAAAATTCGTGAAGCGTTCCATATTAAAAAAAAAAAAATCAGTTTATGTTACAGTGGTTCTGCAGAAAGTGGTGATCACGAATGATGAAGGTAATATTTGCAACTGAAATCACACAATCGTACTTCACTGGGCATTCGCTTTCTGATAAGAGAGAAAACTGGAGTTTCTGTTGGTTGTAATCAGTAATATTATAAACCTTACTTTCGTTGTTATTGTTGCTTACATCAGCAGTTGAAAAATCAAAGTTGCAAACTTTCCAAGCACTTAAAATATTCTTGACTAATTTATCTCAGTCCAAATTTTACCAACATCCTAAGAATAAAGATTCCCAAATATATTTCTTCTTTCTCCCAACAGTGTTTTTCTAATTTCATAAATATTTCTTCATTGTCCCATCAGGTAACAACAACAACAAAAATGCTAGAGAAACTCAAATTTTAGAGTTAAGTTTACTATGCCAAAAGATCTTTCATATAAGTGACTGAATATGGATTGTAAATAAAGTATGTTTTAATATTAACTGATAAAGATTAAATTATTCTTTAAAAAGAATACACTTTAACATTTCACCAGCTAACAAGAGCCTAGCCAACTAACTTTATACCTTCATTCAATAATAATAATAACAACAGCAATAATAATAATAATAATAATAATAATAAAGTATACATTCCCTACTTAATAACAAGGAGTCTAAATGAAGTTGATGAAGTGCAACCTAGAGTTAGATTCAAATGTCAACAAAAAAAAAAACCTTGGAAATAATCATAATAAATTTTGCTTTCTTTATCCAAAGGCAATGAATAAAATAATAATCAACCAGGAGAAGAGTCAGCACACTACTGGCCCACTGAATAAGGTGCTGGTTTGAGAAACAAGGCTTGTGTTTTGATAAGGAAAAAACCAGCAGAGTTTAGAAGAGAATGTCTGATAAACCAATAGTGTGCCACTCACAGAGCAGGAGAAACAGTCTTTTTATTTCATTTATTTTTTTGATTGATTTGCTTTTATTTTACACGTTTTGCCTGTATGTATGTATGTAAGTGCACCATGTGCATGCAATGCCCACAGTGGCCAGAAGAGGGTGTTGGATCCCCTGGAATTGGAGTTACAGATGGTTGTTGGCCACCAGGCAGGTGCTGAGAACCAAACCCTGGTTCCCTGAATGAGCACCCAGGGCTCTTAACAACTGAGCCATCTCTCCAGCAGGGAGGAACATTCTTAAAAAGTGAAAACTTTCTTAGTTGACAATTATTTTTTTTAATTTATTTTTATGTCTACGAGTGTTTTGTCTGCATGTATATAACTGCACCCATGCATGCAATGCCCATGGAACCAGAAAAGGGCATTGCATCCCCTGGAACTGGAGTTATGAATGGTTGTTAGAGCCATGTGGGTGCTGGGAACTGAACCTGGGCCCTGCTAGAAGAGCAGTAAGTGCTCCCAACTGCTGGGTCATTTCTCCAGCCCTTGACTGTCTGTTATCCAGAAAATATTTTCTTTCCAGTTGTGTGACTTAAGGACTAAAGACTCCTAGAGAGGAGAGCTGGAAACATAGATTTTTTTTTTTTTTTAATGTCCTCATGATTCTAGTTATCTGTTTGGTTTGGGGAGACTAGAAATCATTGAGACCTCATGCAGTCCCCACCACTGCAGAATACTGACTACCATTATTAATTCTGCAGTATCCTCTGCTCTCCAGAGCATCTATCACTGGACTATTTAATTGAATATAAAATGTGAAGATGATCAAATGTGTCTAATGAGAGAGATTTGGCATCTAAATCTTGGGGCAGTTTTCCTTGATTTAGTTTTATTTGTATTTCACCTCTATAATCTGGGAAAAAAAATACTTAAAAAATTTTTCAGGCATACTTAGTCTAAATGTAAATAATTACATAAAACACATGTACATGTACCCACCAACTAACTTAATACAATTTTATAAATAAAATAATCTTTTAAACCTGATATTTATCACTTACTTAGTTCAACTTAAAAGTCAAAGTCAAATTAATATTGTTGTAGTCTAAACAACATAAATTATTATCCCGTATAGACAAAAAGTGTGCATACCTTTCCACAACTTGCTTTTTGTTAAACAGTATTATCCATGTTGGCCATGTATATCTACTTGGTTTTTGCTACTGATTACAATTATATGAATACATAAAATATTGTTTTCCTTATAGTAGATTATTTAGGCTGTTCCCAATTTTGCACAATTCTAAAATATACTGCAATGAATACTATCGTGTCTCCTCTTTCTGACTAGAAATGTCTCACTTCCCATGAGTCTTTGTCAAGTCAGTAACTAGAAGGTCAAACTTCACATTTTCTGAAGCAGAATTGTCTTTTCTTGAACTGACCAAAGATAAGGGAAATCACTTTATTTTGACATTCAAGATGAAGTGCTTCTTAACACTTTGAAAGTTCAATGGATTTTGCCCTTTACAACAATCTGATCTATTGAAATAAATGAGTAAATCCTGTCCTGAGGCATCTGTGTTAATGATTTTCACAATAGGAAAATAACCAATTTCTAACTGGATTTAAAATAATTCCTAAGTAAACAGAAAATTGTTAACTATAATACAGATAATAACCCTGTTTATCTCCAAGATTTACCCCATATGCTATTATTTAACTGATGGCTCTTTTTCTAAAGAAATTTAGTGAGAAACTTAGTAATCAAATGTGCCTAGAGAAATGACACCAGGAAAGCAGTCACCATACAATTCTGTCAACCCCAGATGTATGTGAAATGCTCTGTGAATCTGGCTGAGGTTGCCACTTGAACAGGTATTACTAAGGATTCTTTTTAAAATTACCTTACAAAAGCCCTTTTTAATTGTACTGAAGTCAGGCAAAACATAGTCAATCATGACTGTATTGTCCTCTCCCTTTAACCTATAAGACAAAAAAAGAGATTTATTAAATGTTTTGATTACGCTAGCATCACCAAAAGTCAACTTCCCGAATCTTAGATTACCGTTACACATACTTTGCAATATCCATGTCTCTGTAAAAATCTTGAGACACATAGCAAACATCTTCTTTCACTTGATTAATCACATGAGTTTCATCCATAACATGTAGCTGCCTAACAGAAATAAATAAATGTAATTAAAAAAAATTTAACATACAAAATTTGAAATGGGAAACTGAACATAACTTACAACTATCATTTACATTATTTCTCTATGGCTAGCAAGATGTCTCAGTGGGTAGGGGCACTTGATGCTAAGCATGATGACCTGACTTCAGTCTGCAGAATCACATTGTGAAAAGAGAGAAACACCTCTTGCAAGTTGTCCTCTAGCCTCCACATGAGTGCATGTATACAATGCACGCACGCATGCACGCACACAAGCACAATCAATCAACACCAAAAAATCTAGAATTATATTTTCAATAAAACTGTTCTTTGGAAATTTTTTAAGTTCTTTGTCAGAAGGGTATTGAAAACAGCCTTTCATATTGCTGTCCACATTATATGGATCTAACAATGGAATTTTTTTTTTTAATCTTTTTGAGACAGGGTCTCCCTCTAGCCTCAGCTGGCCTGGAACTCACTATGTAGACCAGGCTGGCCTTGAACTCACAGAGATCTTTCTGCCTCTACCTCTTGAGTTGCTGGGCTTAAAGGCATGTGCCACCATGTCCAGCAGATTTTTTTAAAAAATGTTTTAAAACATTTTTTCCTTTATTTTTATGTTTCATGAATGAGTGTTTTGCATGCATGTGTGTAAATATACCCGAGCATGCAATGCCCACAGAAGCCAAACCCCAGTCCTCTGCTCTTAATCACAGAACCATCTCTCCTCCAATCTGTTCATTTTTGAGATAGGGTCTCACTATATAGCTTTGACTGGCCTGAACTTCCTATGTAGACCAGGCTGACCTTAAACTCAGAGATCTGTGTGCTTCTGCCTCCCAAATGCTGGGATTAAAGGTTTGTGTCACTGTGCCTGTCCTGGAACTATGTGGCCCATGCTAGCCCTGAACTTATGGCAATTTCCTGACTCAGCCTCCTGAGTGCTAGTATTATAGGTATTAGCCACCATCTAGTTTGAAATATTAAACTCTTAAATGTGTAAAACACTTTTATTTCATATATATTTGTTTGTTTATCAATTTATTTATTTGTGACAGAGTCTCCCTGTAACCCTAGCTTGCCTGGAACTCACTATGTAGAGCAGGCTGGCCTCAATCTCACAGAGATCCACCTGCCTCTTCCTTGTCAGTGCTGGGATTAAAGGTGTGTACCACCACACACAGCTAAAACATTTTTAACGTTATAGAGTATTCTCATTTGATTATGGTATTTAATATGTACATTATTCTTTAAAGCACAGATATTAGTTCAGTGTACAGAGAAGGAAATTCAAATTGTGTGTTATATGATAAGGCTTATCATCTTACTAAAGAATAAATTTCCCCCTAGTCATTCTGAATAGATTTGCACTATGATATCTGGACTCTTAGTGCTGTCTTTTCTGAAGTATTATGAATCAGCACACAGTCACACAGTGTACCTAGCATACAGAAGATGTTTAATATTTGATAAGTGAATCAAAGAAAACACAGTATTTATACAGGAAAGTTTTTTTTTTTATTTTTGTTTTGTTTTGTTTTTTTGAGACAGGGTCTCCCTGTAGCCCCAGCAGTCCTGGAATTCACTATGTAGACCAGGCTGACCTTGATCTCACAGAGATCCACCTGCCTCTGCCTCCTGAGTGCTGGGATTAAAGGTGTGTGCCACCATGCCCAGCTGAGGAAAAAAACTTTATTATTTTTATTTTACGCATATGTGTATGAGTATGTATTGCCTGCGTGTAGGTGGGTGCACCCATGTCATGCAATGCCCATGGAGGTCAGAAGAGGGCATCAGAGCCCCTGGAACTGGAGTTAGGCACTATGTACATGCTGGGATTCAAACCCAGGTCCTCTGTAAGAGCAATCAATGCTCTTAACTGTTGAGCCACCTCTCCAGCCCCGGAAATTTTTTTTTTACATGAGTTCATTTCCTTTGAATATTATTCTGTGCAAATGGACTTTATCACATGCTACATGCTTATTTTATATTTCCAATTAAATATCTGGTGAACATCTTCCTATGCTATTATTCTTTTTAAATTTTTTTTACTGTGTTTTAGTCAATAACATGAACCTAGTAAAGTATAGTTATTAATATTCCCAAGTTAGAAGTTTAGATGTGAGGGCATTTATAAGTTAAGTAAAAAATGACCTTTGCAGTCAGAGGTTTGAAGCACAATTTACTAGCCAAGTTACTTCCATGAAGACTAATCCCTGCATGTCTAAAAAGGTGCTAAGACACCTACTTAAAAGAGCTATTAGAAATAAATGGTCACAGGGGCTGGAGAGATGGCTCAGGGGTTAAGAGCACTGGCAGCTCTTTCAGAGGACCATGATTTGATTTCCAGCACTCACATGGAGGCCAACAACCATCTATAACTCCAGTTCCAGAGGAATTCAACACCCTCTTCTGATCTCGGTGTGCTTTCACACATGCAGGCAATACATCCCCCACACACAAATAACAAATAACTGTATGAAGTACACAAAAATCCAATAAAATTAAAAATAAATAAATAAAATAAAAAACTAAAATTAAAAAATAAAATATTTTTAAAAAGAAATAAATGATCACTTGGCCCACGCCTTTAATCCCAGGACTTGGGAGGCAGAGGCAGGTGGTTCTCTTGGAAATCAAGGCCAGCCTGGTCTACATGGAGAGTTCCAGGCCAGGTGGGGCTACAGGAGACCCTGTCTCAACCCCCCCCCACAAAAAGCAAAATAAAAATAATAGAGAAATAAATGATTACAATATGTTTAGCATAATCTTTCCATCCAATGAATTAAAAATTGCTTCCTTTTATTTTGCTTTTGTCTAACAAACATTATTATAAACCATATTTCAGCTTCTCTGAGGTGTATGATTATATTAATGAGATGAGAAACTCAGCTATGACCGTTCTAAGGTACTGAAGAGTCATCTTATTTTCAGAGATTAAAATGTGAAAAAAAGTATAAGCATCAGTAAAAAGGTTTTTTTTTTAATCTATAAGTATTTTAATTTACATCCGCTTTCCTCATTGATTATTCATGCTCTGGGATACAGAGAATCAACTAATTTTAGTCTCTTGCATTAGTACCAAAGTGTTTACAAGAAGTTATCTCCACTTATCAAAATATGTATCAGCAGTCAATAAGAATCTCCATATAGGGCTGGAGAGATGGCTCAGCAGTTAAGAACACTGGCTGTTCTTGCATAACACCGGGGTTCGAATCCCAGCACCCACATGGCAGCTAACAACTGCCTGTAACTCCAGTTCCAGGGGATCCGACAGCCTCTTCTGTCCTCCATGGGCATTGCATGACATGGGTGCACTTACCCACATGAAGGCATAACACTCATACACATAAAATAAAAATAATAAAATATTTTAAAGGGAAATTTCACCTGACAGAATTGAGCTTTCTTGGTAAAGCACTGTATCAGTTGTAGTTATGCTAGGATATGCTTTTAGCTGTGCAGATGTTTGGACAGAGTCAGTACCTATTGGGCTCTGCAGCTCTCACTGCTGGATGATTTCAGAGGTCATCAAAGGACATGGTCATAAGGGATGATTTTAGATTCACCTGAGTCTGTCAGGGCGTGGCCCGTGTTTTAAAAAATAAAAATAATCTCCATATAAAAAAATCTACAACATCATCTTTTGAAAAAAGATATTCATTAATTTGGATTGTAAAAGTGATATTTTCTGATCCATAGTCAGACACATTATCCATTGTGCCCCTGGCCTGCTGACATAAAAGTGGTATTTTAGTTGGTGTTTTCGCTAGTCAGAAGGTCTATGAGAAAGAGAAATCTTTGTTTTTCACTCACATATTCCAAGATCCTAAGTAAATATTCAAAAAATATTGCTGAAATGAATCTGTGATTACTAATGAAATTTATTATTTTTATGTCTGGGTATTATCAATTTGTATGCTCCTAAAAATTATGGATTTGTGCCACTGATGCTTTTCATATAAACATTTTATATTGATGTAATGTTTTCCTAATGGACTGACAAGCACTCTGACTGTCATCAAGAACATGGTTAGCATGCTATTATTTTGGATCCTGATGTTAAAAGCTTGGTCCTCAGTGGGGTGCTAATGGAAGGTGGTGGAACCTTTAAGCTAGGAAGCCTGGTGGGAGTGGGAGGTAACTAAGAGCATGCCCTGAAGGGGTACTGGGACCCCTGCCTGCCCACTTCCATTTTCTCTTTGCTCCCCAGCCACCAAAGAAGCTTTGGGTAAACTGGCCTGGTCGACAGCACACTCACACCATGAGGTTCTCTGTCGTTACTGTCCTAAAGCAGCAGAGCCAAGCAACCATGCAAAACAAACTTTCCTTCTTACTAAGTTCATTATCTTGCATATTTTGTTATACTAACTCAATGTGGACTGATACAAAGTAGTGTATTTGTTTCAATTTGTTTCTAGGGTTGATGGTTGTCTCACTTTTTTTTAAAAGGCTTTTGACACTACATAAGGTTTAAAGTTGTTGTTTGTTTGTTTGTTTTTTCTTGGTCTTTTTGAGACAGGGACGCCCTGTAGGTTTAAAGTTTTTAAAGGTTTAAAGTTAAGCTGAGCAAGCTGACACAAAACATTAATCCCAGAATTCCGGAGGCAGAGGCAGGTGGATCTCTGTGAAATGGAGGCCAGCCTGATTTACATAGTGAGTTCCAGGCCAGCTGTGGGTACAGGGAGACCTTGTCTCAAAAAGGCACACAAAAATAAAAAAAAAAATAAAAGTAATAATAAATAAATAAATACATTAAATAAATAAAAACTTGTTGGGTCTGGAGAGATGGCTCAGCCCTTAAGAGCACTGGCTGATCTTGTAGCTGACCTGGGTTCAGTTCCCAGCACCCACATGGTGGCTAACGCTCATGACTCCAGTTCAAGGAGATCCCACACCCTCTTATGGCCTGCCCATGCACATACAAACAAACAAAATACTCATGCATATTTAAAAAGAAAAAACTGTCAAAACCTCTCCTGAGGGCTGGAGAGAAGTCTCAGCAGGTAAAGATATGTGTGCTGCAAACCCAACTGAGCTCTATCCCCAGATCCTAAGAGAACCAACTCCACAAAGTTGTTCTTAACTCCAGCTGCCTGCCAAAGCATGCTTATATCTGTATTCTCTCTCTCTCTCTCTCTCTCTCTCTCTCTCTCTCTCTCTCTCTCTCTCAGCTTACACATGTACACATACATACACAAATAATAAACAATTAAAAAACATAACAAAGCAAAAACCAACAAACAATGTATTCTGAGTGGCTACTGGAGCCTGGGAAGAGGCATGGGAGGTAGGTGAGGAGAAGGTAGTAGTTAATGGGCGTGGTGAAGCTGTTGCACAGGAGATTTATTTATTTATTTATTTATTTATTTATTTATTTATTTATTTATTTCAGGGTCTCCATGTAGCCCCATCTGACCTAGAATTCACTATGTAGAGCAGGTTGGCCTTAACCTCACAGAGATCCACCCGCCTCTGCCTCGGAGTGCTCAGATTAAAGGCATGGGCCACCACACCCAGCCTAGGAAGAATCACTTCTAATGCTCCAAAGCACAAAAGGATAACTAGAGTTGAAAACAATTATCAGAATTTTTTCCAAAATAGCTAGAAGAGATTTTGAAAATTCCCAACACAATGAAATATGAGGTGACAGATGTGCTAATTTTCTCATATTATATACTGTACACACATATCAAAATAATCACACTGCACCCACTAAACATAAATATTTACTCTATATGAATTAAAAAATTAACATATATATTTAAAATATTGCTTAAATTTGTGTGTGTGCATGCATGCATGTGTATACATGCCATGGAATACATGTTGGGGTCAGGGGACAACTTTTTGAAGTCAGTTCTTTCCTTACATCATATAAGTCCTTTACCCTCTGAGTAAAAAACATATTTTCTAAAAGCCTTATCCTGTTCTGCCTGAACTATTTTCTGTAAATACAGCTGTTCACTTCTTAATTTTTTTCATTGCATTGTACACTAGTGATCTGCATACTTTACTGAATGCATGTTTTCATTCAATAAATCTTCGTAAAGTTGTACATAGAAAAACATATTGTGTTACTTTTGCTTCAAAAATTTTTGGTTGTTTTTTTTTTTTTTTTAATATGTTTGAGTGTTTTGCCTGCATATGTAAGTGCACCTATGTGCGCAATGCCCACAGATGAGTATGGCAGATCCCCTGGAACTGAAGTTACATATGGCTGGGAACCAAACCCAGGTCCTCTGCAAGAGTAGCCAGTGTTCCTAACTGCTGAGTCATCTCTTCAGCCCCATTGCGTATTTTGTTGTTGTTGCTGTTGCTGTTTTAAATAAATCTATTCAATGGGACAGAGTTCAGACAGGGCCTCACTATGTAGCCCAAAGCTGGCCATTGAACTCAACATGTAGCTCAGGGTAGCCTTGAACTCTCAGTCCTCCTGCTTTAGCCTTCCAAGTGCTGGGATTACAGAAATAGAGACCACAGTGCCCAGCCCTGTAAGTCTTAAATCTTCAATTGATTTAACCTTCCTCCTTTTCCAATTTACTGCATCTGACTGGAGTGGGGAATTAAATATCCCAGCATATTGAATTTGAGCCCAATTTGTTTGGTTCTATAGTGAATAGCATTCATATAATCATATGTTGTGAATAATCTTCATAAGTTTTGAATTTTCAGACTTAATCTTTAAGCAAAGGAAGACAGATTTAACATTGTGATGTATGTAAGTACACCCGTGGGGTGCAATGCCATCAGAGGCCAGAAGAGGGCATTGGATCACCCTGGAACTGGAATTATGTATGGTTGTTAGGCACCATGTGGGTGCTGGGAATCAAAGCCGGGTCCTCTGCAAGAACAGCCAGTGCTCTTAATCACTGAGCCATCTCTCCAGCCCCCAAATAATTTTTGTTTTGTTTTTGTCTTTTTGAGGCAGGGTCTCCCTGTAGTCCCAGCTGGCCCAGAACTCACTATGTAGACCAGGCTGGCTTTGAACTCACAGAGATCCACCTGCCTCTGTCTCCCAAGTGCTGGGATTAAAGGCAGGTGCCACCACACCTGGCTATAAAAATGCTTATTTAAAAAAGAAGTATTTTTTTGCCACTATTTGTCCTGAAAAAAGTTAATCTCTAGTAGGGGACCACAGTACCTCATCCTCCCAAAGTTCAAGGTCAAGCATTACCTGTAAGATATGATCTCTTTTAGATGGTTGGTTAAGAGTTTTCCTCCCACATTTATCCTAAAAGAAGAAAATTCAACTTTGGTTCAGTTATCACACATTTCGTCCTAAGAAATAATATGAAATTGACATGAAATGAGAAATGAAAATTAAACAGAACTCACCGAATAATAGCTTCTTTTTTCTTTTTACTTCTACAATAAGGAACTATATGAGTAAAGGAATAGCCACTGTCTACAATGATACAGCACAGTTCAGAAGGATTATCTCGGAAATACCTGTGTGCACTGAGAGCACCGGCTATTAGAGATAATAAAGAAAATAGGAACTCATTAAACACTAGTACACCATTACTTTAAAGTAATAACAAAAAACAGCATCTAAGGTATGCACGAACACAAAAAAATTGCTTTTAATTATAAGAAAAACATTAATTCATAACAGTATAACTGTCTTCATTTTTTATATTTTATTTTTTAACAATGTGTGTGTGTCTGTGTGACCTCCCCAAGTTCACAGGGTCATGCCTCCCAGGAATTACATAAATAAATGTAATTTTAAAATTAAAAATAAACAAATTACCTTTTCTTAAATTGTTTTAGAATTTTTCTGTATTTTTAATTTCTTATTTATTTTTAAAAATTTATTCCTTGGAATTTCATACATGAATACAATATATTGATATTCTACTGCCCTCCTGCTCTCCCCCTCCAATCCCTCCCAGGTCACCTATTAATTTTTTTGAAGTTCTGGGGATTGAATCTAGGGTCTTGTGCCTGCCAGACAAGGGCTCTAGCACAAGCTAATTCCCCATCCCTCCTTTTTACTTTCTATCTTGTGGTAGGCTATCATTAAGTTGCTCAGGTGGCCTTAAACTCAGTCTGTAGTGCAGGCAAACTTTGAATTCTTAATGCTTGTCTTAGTCTCCCAAGTAGCTGGAATTACAGGCCTGTGCCACTAGGCCAAGCTAAAATTCTATGCTTAAAATAAAATTCTATGTTCCTTCAGACCTACAAAATGCCAGCTAGTATACAGTATTTTAAGTTTTCTTTACCACCTTCATATCTATATTCACATAATTTAATTTCAGCAAAAACTTTAACTCACCATTTACTCGTAATACTGCTTGGAATTGATATTCTTCAAATAGAATTTCATTCATTGATTCTTGAATTGAAGTAAAGTTAAAATATGGTTCTGTAATAATAATATTAGTATCTAAAAAATCAACCTATGGGAAGGGAAAAAAAATTTCAAAAGATTTGTAATTTGTAGTGATTATCATCAAAATGTTTTACACATAAATAATATGTAAACAAAATGATCTAATCCTCAGGATAATACTAATGAATGTTATCTTCATTTAATAGATGAACAAACTGACTCACAGAAAAATTAAATATATTATCCAGGTCTATCTAGCCACATAGGGACATAGGATTTGAACTCAGTCTGGTTAAAGAATCCAAGTGCTTAACTATTGGGCATTCCTACTTCGTTAAAAAAAATAACAAGGAATGTCAATTTGTTAAAGACAACTATACAAAGTAATGATAGGTTCAGATGCAAGTAGTAGAGTCACTATTATTTTGTTATTAAAAGGAAAAAAGCAAGAAGCTTTAGGATTTGTTTATTTTTATTTTTTTTAGAGCTGGGTGTGGTCCCAGCAGAGGCAGGAAAATCTCTGTGAGTTCAAGGCCAGCTTGGTCTACATAGTGAATTTCAGGCCAGCTAGGGCTACAGGAAGACCCTGTCTCAAAAAAAAAAAAAAAAAGTAGTTTTTGGAGACTTTTTATGGACAGAAAACACAACAGAATACATGCAACCTAGTTTAGTCTCTTATTCTCTGCCTTTTCCATGCTGGTGATTCAATATACTAGTGATTTTGGACCAAGTACTCTGCCTCCCCAGTGATGGTGGTTCTATCATAAATATTTGTTCTGATGGCTTTTATAAGCTTAGCCAGAGTTCCTTTGTCCTCAGTGTCAGCCTGTGTGAAGGTGAGGGTGGTGCAGGTCTTCCTGTTAACTACACCTCTCAGTCTGACTTTCCCGTTGGTTTCCAGGAGGAAACCCCCCACCTTACGAAACAGATAGGAAGACAAACAGCTTGACAGGGTTCATGTCATGAGCAATCATCACCATCTGAGCCTTCCTATTTTCCACGAAGAGGTAACACCCCTACTCAAAGGACAAGTGATTTCTCTGTGGGGATGTCCCCTTTGGCAAACAGCCCAAGCTGACACTCTATGTCTTCCCTAGCTTTGTTTCTGATCTCTACTTGAGGGCCAGTGTAAGCAGAGAGCAGCAATTTGGTGGCCCAAAGCCTAGGTGAACTGGTGAATCACAGGAAGCACTTTCAGCCACTTCAGAAAATAGACCTTTGCAGGGAAGACATGTAGTAGGCCTTGGGCCTATTGGCTGGGGTCCCTTTTAGGCTGAATGTCCTGCCCAATGCCAAAATTATTAGGCATTCACTCCTGCTTTCTCCATGAGCAGTGCCTAGGGCCGCTTTCCTCCTCTTGGGCATCCCACCTCTCAGCATCATGGATGGCTGGAGGAGAGAGTTCTCCACATTCCTGAGGTGTATTCAAACCTGGACAGCCTCTTAGCCTGTCTATGGTAGGCAAAGTATTTTCTTGTAAAAATACAAAGGTTATAATGTATGTATCTAATAATAGTAGAACCACCAGACTGAGTGGTGAAGCAGTTACCCAGTATAACAAATGCCCTGGGTTTGATTCCCTGCCATAGAGAAGGAGGCAATAGAAATCTGAAGTGAAAATTTAATCTTGAGTTTCATACAGACTATATTTAGTCCACTTATTCTTCAACCAGGAAATCCTATTCATCATCACGCTTGGCCTAATGGCTGGCCAATGCCAGCCAGGACTAAACAGTGAGACCCTATCTCAAAAAAAAGAAGATCAAATCTAGGCAAAGCTATATCCAACTGCCTTAAATATGTATATTTATGTTTATAAATCTTAAAATATAAGTTCTAACTTTTCATTTGAATTAAGACACAGAAAAAGAATTTTAATACATACTGTAACTTGTTACCTGATACATTTCTTTTCCAAAAAGATAATCCCAAACTTGTCGTTGGACATCCCAGTTCACCAAATAACCCTAAAAGTTTTTAAAAACAAACCTAATTATCAAGAATATTTTGATAATGTTTAAAAAAGATTAAAGGCATTTGCCTTACAAATCCAGAAACCTGAGTTTCATCCCTAGACCCACCTAAAAATGAAAAAAACCGACTCCATACAGTTGTCCTCTGACCCTCTCACCTCTATAAACATGCCATGGCATGCGCCCCCTACCCACATCATACACATACGCACACACAAAATAATAATAAATAATTTTAAATTAAAAAGATCAGATTAGCGTATTTTAAATCACTTAATTCTAGCTCTTAATGGTAACCTTTTTCCATTTAATTTATGACTTTCAAATCACTTATAGAAGTTTTTCTCCTTTTAAAAGTTCAAAAACTTAAAAACAAATAACTAAGGTGCCAAGAGTTCAAATGGCACACCAATATATAGATCCCCCTCTGTATATTCCTCTTAAATACATGTGTCTATGCCACCTACTTTCAACAGAAATAAAATTCAGTATTCCGAGGAGTAACTAAATTATGATCATTTACTTTTTCCAAGACAGTTTAATTTCAATTTTTCATTTTAATTAGATCTCAGTTAAAAGCTAAACAAACTTTTCTTCGATATCTAAAATTATTTCCATATTATACAGTCTTATGTATAACTAAAATGAATCTTGAAGTTGAGGTTTAAAGGGCTGGGGAGATATCTCAGTGGCTAAAAGGCTAGCTGAGCAAGCCTGACACCCAGAACTCATGTTTAAGGCTGGATGCGGTTGCTCACATCTGTTCACATCTGTAATCGCAGCACTTTTATGAGTGAGGTGGGCAGCAGAGACTGGAGAATGCCCTGGAAGTTCCTGGTCAGTCAATTTTGAGTATATAGCCTGGAGAATGCCCTGGCAGTTCCTGGTCAGTCAATTTTGAGTATATAGCCTTGGCAGAAACAAGACTCTTCCTCAACAAGGTAGAAACTGAGAACCAACTCTAGAAAGTTGTACTCTGACCTTCACACACACCAGCACTCACTATGAACACACACACACACACACACACACACACACAAAAAA